CAAGAATAAGGCTGTGTTAATTGCTTAAGGCCAAGACAACATCAGTGCCCAAGGATGCTGAAGGGGAATATTAATCTATATTCTAGATCTGGACTGTCCAATATGGTAGCCGCTAGCGATGTCTGAGCAACATGAAATGGTGCTAGTTCAAGGTGAGATGTGCTGTAAGTGTAAAATACAGATTTCAAAGGTTCAGCATGAAAAAATAATCTCAGTATTTTTTTATATTAATTAGATGTTGAAATATTTTAGACACACTGGATTAAATAAAAATATTTTCATTTGTTCTTTTAAAAATGTGGCTACTAGAACATTCTAAATTACACAGGTGGCTCACTTTTATTTCAACTGAACAGTGCTGTTCTAGAGCAAGATAAAAAGCCCCATTTGGAGGTGAATTTATGTTTCACACCAACATGTGAGATACAGTATGTTATTCTAGTTTTGCAGATGAAGAGGTTCCTATAGGCCAGGTAACTTGTCTACTCTGATGAATGGCAGTATAGAGACTTGAATCCAGGTTTTCTGATATGAAATCACAAATTTTATGTAAAATTTTAAAGATTTTTTTAACTTTACAAAGGAAAAGAATGTTCTGTAGAAATGCCATCTCTCCAAAACATCTTAAGCATCTCTGTTAAATCTGACCACCAAATAAACATGACAAGTAAGCCATCCCACAGGGCATAAGAATTTACCTTACTACACCGTCCACATTAAAGGAATTTTTAAAAATTTATTTTTCAGAGGCTAAGGCCAAAAAATTGTTCTTATTTTTTTTTTTCACTTTAGAAAGAGAAAAAATTAAGATGTTGAAATACATTTTTACTCTAGTTTTCATTTTTGTTCAGATGATTTGGTGTGGTTGTCATAATCATTAACACAGGACTTATGTACCAGACACCACCCAAAATGCTTCAACATATATTTAATTCAACATGTTAATTATTTAATCCTCACTACAACCCTATTAATTAGGTAACATTATTAGGTCTCTCACAGATGAAGTAAGTAAGTAGAGAACATCAGTTTGCCAAAAATCATAGATTCAGTATGGATGTGAATGCCAGGATTGTAATAAAGAGCTTATTTTCTTAACCAATACATACCTATTTTATATATTTTCTTCCAATTTTACTTCTATAGATCTGCAATAATTTTTTTTTTAAAAGCCTTACCCCTTAATTTGGGAGCCATAAATATCTCTACTTGTAGAATTAAATCTCCTTTTAAACTGAATATTTAGCGCAAAATAGTTTGTTCTTTAAAAAATAGCTTATTTATTCCTTAAAAAAACAAAAAAACCCAGTCCTGACCACTGTGGCTCAGTTGGTTGGGCATCATCCCATGCACCAAATGGCTGCCAGTCTGATTCTGATCAGGGCACATGACCAGGTTGCAGGCTCAATCCCCAGTAGGAGGCGTGCAGGAGGCAGCCAACTGATGTTTCTCTCTCTCTCAAAATCTTAAAAAAAAATAAAATAAAATAAACTTGTGGTAAAGACATCTCCCATATGCTTTTTAAAAGCTGTTAAATAAAGCACAGCCTTATACAAAGTAGAAGCTGAGAAAAAATCCAAGCCAGAAGTTCAGTGAGGATGTGCTTTCCCTTAGATGTTTACAAAACTCATCACTACAAATCTACCCTTTGATTCTTAGTCTTTAATTTGGTTTATACCAGCTGTAAAACACATTTAAAAAATATCTTAAATATTTAATGCGAAGCTCTTTAATTGCTCAACTGCTGTACTGGTTAACTAAACTGGTCCAAGATAAAAAGGTCCCAGTCTGGGTTAAGACTGTATGGAGACTAATTAGAATCTTCATTCTCACCAGCCACCTACAGATAGGTGCTGTGGCCACAAGAAACACCTGGGTCAGAAAGGGAGTTAGGTTCACCAAAGATATCCCCAGTGGAAAAAACGCTTAAATAGCAACAAGTGCTAACATTTACTAAGCACTCACCAAGTATTCGGCTCTGGGCTCAGAGCTTTGTATAGATTATAGATAGTATGAACTGTTACCATCCCCCTTTGGCAAATGAGGAATGCAGTATTGCAGAGCTTGATTAGGCTGCCATGGCGGCCCACAGCTGCTCAGCTGTGTAGCAGAGATGGCATCCATCCCCAGGCTGTGCACCTCCAAGCCTAAAATCCAAACCACTATGTAAGGCGTCATAAAGTCAATAACACTTGGTCCCTGGCATCAAGATTTCTTATTTTTAACTGATTTTATATTTAGCCCATCACTAACATCATGAAACTTCTGCCTAAAGCTTACTAAGTGAAATCCTTCCTTTTACCATTTCTTAGATTTGAACAAGGTTGTTGCACAAATTAATAGAGAATCATGTATCATCTAAAACAGTGGTTCTCAAGTTGAAATGGGCATCGCAATCACCAAGAGAATAATGGGCCCCATCCTAAAACAAATCAGAATCTCTGGGAGATTAGCACCAGGACTCTAACTTTGCAAAGCTCTCTACCAAAACAGTCAAAAGATAACTGGGAAATCCTGGCCAAAGGAGGCCAGGAGCTGGCCACAAAATCCTTAACGGAAAGTACCTCTGATAGGTGGGCCCGTTCGAGGATTTGGCCCTCTGCCAAATCACATCAGAAGTCACTTTACCATTCACTATTAGGAAATCACTGCCATGGGACAAAACATAACCAAAAGAATATGGGATGAACGTATTCTCTTCCTGTAATGAGGAGGCCAAGGGATTACAGCACAATTGTTCTAGACAAAAGACAATCTGGAGGCAGACTGCCTGGACCTGAATCTCAGCTCTGCCATTAGGCACATTACTTACTTTGTCCTTCAATGTACAAGA